AAAATGTCTCGCAATCCGAAAATGGGAGGTTCCTAAGGTCATTTGAAGCAACTTTTTCCTTCGCGAAAATTTTCTCCGAGGCTTCGTTTACGAGTTATTAACGAAAAACACTGACCAATAAGAGGCGAGCTCGGCTGACGCGCGTCGACCCAGCCAACGAGTGCACGGAGCCCAGTTCCGCTCATTGGCTCGGCCGTCTCGCGCCAAATGATCTCGCCTCTGATTGGTCACGGTTTTTCGTTAATAACTCGTAAACGAAGCCGCGGATTGCATTTCCGCTAAGGAAAATGTTGCTCCAAATGACCTCAGGAATCCCCTACTTTCGGATTGCGAGACATTTTTGGGACGCCCTGCATATTGACTACTATAATCTCGAATGTTACATTAAAGTATCGTTGTCCATAATATCTAGTCATGTTATTGCGATCGTCGTTAAAATAAACGAACGCGACGGTATTTCGGACGGCCTCGATAATTGGTACCCTTGCCCTACTGGCACCGAATATCGAACGGCCTCCGTTTCTAAGAATCGATGCCGTAGATTCGCGAGAACGACGCTCGAGAAATGAAATGGTACAAACGCGTCCGTGACAGTGAGGGAGAGACGAAGGGCGGGAATAACGGTTAGAAAAACGACGCAGCATCGAGTTAACAAACTGAAATCACAACTGCGCGAGCTGTAAGCGCTGCAACATCGGTTTCGAAGCACCGCGTGCACCGCGCCGTGCCATTTTTGCGCGTATTTTCCGGCCGGTTGGCTCGAAATCGTAACGCTGAGCACACAACCGGGGGCTCTCGCAACTTCGTTCCGGCGTTATAAATCTCGAATATTCGAATACCCGGAAGAATTTCGCGAGCGCGCGCCGATGTTTTTGCCCGATGAAACAGCAAAATTACTTCGTTTACCGACCAGAGAGAGAGAGGGAGAGAGAGAGAGAGAGAGAAAGAGAGAGAGCAAAGCCCGGCGATCGTTCCGCGAGCGATGAAGCACCGCGTTCCCTGTAAATGATGCTGCCAGCTAGACGCCGTTTTTTCCCCGGGTCCGAATTCCTCTCGCGGTACTAGCCGCCTCGCCCCTGCACCCCCCGAAAAACACCGTCGCCCGACGCTCGAATCCTCTTACAAAAGCTAGTTGCGCCGTTTGTTTCCGCGTTACTCGTGCCGGGAGGCTTTGCGCGCCGCTTTTTCAAAGAACCGCTAGGCCTTTTCCGGGTCCTTTGACATTGGATCGGAGGAGCATAAGGTGCAGTTGCGCGCTGCAATTATTTTCTATCATTCTGTATACAGTTCGGCGACGGTGGCAACAAGTCCTCGGAGTTGGCTGTGTCCCATATTTTTCATGCAAAAAGGTATTGTCATGGGAAGCATGAAATTAACGATTAATTCAATATATTTCGAAGCGAAAGATATATCGAGTTCTAATAAAGAAAACGATGTTCCAGAATGTTCAAATTAAATTCTGAAATTTTTAAGTGGCGCTGAGTCTAAGCGATCTTGTGTGATATTCAGGATGTCCCAAAATCATGGTATTTCCGGGGAATGAGAGGTTCCTGAGATTATTTGAAGTAACTTTCTCCTCAGCGAAAATGCAATCCGCGGCTTCGTTTACGAGTTATTAACGAAAAACACTGACCAATAAGAGGCGAGCTCGCCAGCGCTAGCCGAACCAATCAGGTCTCCACCGCTCGTTGGCTCGGCCCCCTTGCGCTAGCTGACACTCGCCTCTCATTGGTCACTGTTTTTCGTTAATAACTCATAAACGAAGCCACGGAGAAAATTTGTCTAAAGGAAAAAGTTACTTCGAATGACCCCAGGAACCCCACATTTCCCGGAAGTATCATAATTTTGGGATACCTTGTGTATGTCTCCCATAGGAACTGTAATAGCAGATGGTTAAATTGTCAGCTGTTCAACTTATGAAGTAAATGGTTAAAGGGTGAAACTCAAGGGTTAAGATGAAGACTTCGGAGCCTGCTATTTAGCAGGCGGATGGTTATTCTCACTGGTAGATGTAGCAGCGTGGTAGATTGGTTTCTGATGAAAGATAATGTCAAGTTCTACGACCGGATACAGCCCCATGAAGCGAACACTTACGCGTTTGCATGAAGTTTATATAAACTAACGGCACGGGAACGGCGTTTTCCGGCGTACAAAGGCTGAGAAAGCAGCGACGCGGCCGGAATAGGGTTTTATCTGAAGCGTGCGGGAACGCGATAATGCTGGTTCGGAATGGCTCGAGTATTTTTCTTGGAAAGAATTTCGGACTCCGAGTGTATCTTGCGACAATCACTCGCGCACCAAGTACAATCCGTCGCGAAACATGGTCGAGCCGAATGCAGCAAATTCTAAGAACCAAAACCGCGTGACGGGCGTTTAACGGAGATCCAAGCGAAGCTTCGCAGCTTTGATTGGCTTAATCGGTCCAGTGCTGACCCCCCCCGCCTGGCACAGAGCAACCGGGACACGAGCGACCAAGTCGGACGTAATCGATGCAAAAGCGAGCGAGTTCACGGTCAAAGTGTAACAAGATTGCGCGGCGCGGAAAATCGCGCGGAGCCGAGGCCGGCGTGAAATTTCGACGAGTGGCGGCCGCGTCGGCCGATCGGAAGCGATTCGAATGCGATTTGAATTTTGAGTACACTCGCGGATCTGCATATGCAAACAGACCGGCGTGGTGCAGCGTGCCGCCAGATACGATCGTCGCAGCCGTGCGCGCGATTCTGTACATCGTGTCGCCGTCAATCCGGAGGAAAAACTCTTTTTATCGGCGAACGACGCGTTTCCGAGACATCGTTAACGGCCGATTCCACGTTCGTTTCCGCTCGGCAAACATTACCGCGTTAATCGTTCTTGTCCCGAAAAGTCCGCCGAATTCGAGTTATTGCTTTAATCGACTGGACCCGAAAGGATAACAGGGGCGACGGTCGCGGGCGAGTTCGATCGGCGCCGCCGTGCCGTCGCGATGGTAATTTCGATTCGTATTCAGTCGGGGCCGATTGATCGCGAGCCTCTGATTGAAAGATTACCGGGCTTTAAAAACGCCGTGAAATTTATGCGGCCCATCGGAGATGCGCACGTGCAAGCCCGTACACTCGGGTGCACAAGGCTGATCGATCAGCGCGCCGTGCCGTGCCATGCCGCCCCGCGCCGTGACTTCGTATTCTAAAAACGTTGTTGCGTGCCTGTCCATGCTCACTGGGCGGCGCGGCGGGTGGAGAAAGGATGGCTAATGGATTGACTTTCCAAGCGGAACACGGTTTGTTCCTTGTACCCCTGTCGAGGGAAATGAGCGATGGCGTTCCGAAAGACACGCCGCCGCCACCGCCACCGCCGCCGTTCGTCGTACCGTCATCGATCCGCGGATTTTTCTCGCGCACCTCGTGTTTCGGGGGACGATCGATCGCTGACGGATTTCGGGTAGCGAAACGAGGGTCAACTCGCCGAACATTTCATACGTCCGCGAACAAATCGGCCATCTAGCCGCTCGAAGAAAAATTGAACTTGATCGGTGTCCGCGACTCGTGTCCATGTTCTGCCTCGGCTCGACATAACTCTCGTATCGATTTGACATCATTTTTGTGGACACTCAGGAGATAATTGTGTTCCGTGGCTGATACATCCTGCGCCGGAAAGCAGAGCGTAGCTTCGACTGCTATTTCGAAGCGAATCGATTTCTACGGCGGCGAAAGTGTTCGCAGGAAAGGTGAGCGCGGGTCAGCGAAATCATTTTTGGCGAATTACTTCAACTTCAACTTCAACTTCTTTATTTTAACAGTAGATTTACGGAGCACAAAGAACAGCTGTTTTATATTAGTTTGTAAAAGTAGTAGTAAGACATTTATTCTGATTTTTAACAAGTGTTATTGGAACATTTTCCGTAAGTAAGATATAAATTGAACAAATAACTCATAAATCTATCTTTACGATATGAAGAATCGTAAATTAAGAAATTTGTGAGTTCGACGGAATAATCGTAAATTAAAGAATTAGTCTGTTTGACGGAATAATCATAAATTAAAAAATTAGCGTGTTCGACGGAATAATCGTAAATTAAAGAATTAGCGTGTTTGACGAAATAATCGTAAATTAGAAAATTAGCGTGTTTGACAGAATAATCGCAAATTAAAAAATTAGCGTGTTCGACGGAATAATCGTAAATTAAAGAATTAGCGTGTTTGACGGAATAATCGTAAATTAAAAACTTAGTGCGTTTGACAGAATAATCGCAAATTAAAAAATTAGCGTGTTCGACGGAATAATCGTAAATTGAAGAATTAGCGTGTTTGACGGAATAATCGTAAATTAAAGAATTAGCGTGTTTGACGGAATAATCGTAAATTAAAAAATTAGCGTGTTTGACAGAATAATCGTAAATTAAAAAATTAGCGTGTTCGACGGAATAATCGTAAATTAAAGAATTAGCGTGTTTGACGAAATAATCGTAAATTAGAAAATTAGCGTGTTTGACAGAATAATCGCAAATTAAAAAATTAGCGTGTTCGACGGAATAATCGTAAATTAAAGAATTAGCGTGTTTGACGAAATAATCGTAAATTAAAGAATTAGCGTGTTTGACGGAATAATCGTAAATTAAAAACTTAGTGCGTTTGACAGAATAATCGCAAATTAAAAAATTAGCGTGTTCGACGGAATAATCGTAAATTGAAGAATTAGCGTGTTTGACGGAATAATCGTAAATTAAAGAATTAGCGTGTTTGACGGAATAATCGTAAATTAAAGAATTAGCGTGTTTGACGAAATAATCGTAAATTAAAAAATTAGCGTGTTTGACGAGTTTGATAGGATTAATTTGACGGGTTCCGTAAATCTAATGTTAAGTGCGAGGGCCGCAACGTGCCCTAACACACTGACACACCATAAAAACATGCCATTTTTATTAGATAAATTTCACTTGTTATTATCAAGATAACACATGCACAAACTATTAATTCGTAATCTCCTCGGTACTATTTACAAATGTATCGTCGCCTAACTTGCAGATGTTCCGCGGTACGTGGCTGCAGTGTTCGACGCTGCTGTTGACGCTGCTAGGGACGCGGCTGGTGTTCGTGGTCGCCCAATGTGGATCGTTCGGCCAGGACAGATTGGAAAAAGAGGACAAACAGGATAAGCTGGCGCTGTATAAAGTCACTTTAAGGACTTACTGGTCGAGGGCGCGATTTCCACGGCACTACCCGGAATGGAAGCCGCCAGCTCAGTTCGGCAAGCTGATCGGTGAGTCTTTGAACATTTATTGCTGCCGCTGACCATTCAATTTTAAGTCTTTGCGGAACAAGGCGTGGCCGTCGTTCTAACGATAATCTCTAAATTCATGTGGAAACTAGCGGAAGGAAGGATCTAGGGGGAAAGCGAGGCCTAGGAACTAGAAACTAGGATCAGAGAGCGGGTCTCATTTTCGAGAATTTTGATTCAGAATTTTCTCAGAATTTTCTCAGAATTTTCTCAATTTTCTCAGAATTTTCTCAGAATTTTTCTCAGAATGTTCTCAGAATGTTCTCAGAATTTTTCTCAGAATGAGAAGACACGGAAATGAGGGAAACCTGCGTGAAAACCAGGACTGAGAAATATCGGAATCCGATCTCTGCGATCAGGAAACAGGACCTTCTTTCGGTTCGTGTTTATTGGGCTGAATCATAATTAGGCGACGTAGGAGAATAAGCGAAAACGAGACGAGGTCGGAGAACTAATTACGAGGCGAATGAAAATTCGCGAATGTCAATTCGCCGGAAGCCCGGGAAAAATCGAAGGCGGCGAATTCTCAGGGAAATTCCGCGAACCTGATCGCGCTGCGATCAACGCCGCTTATTTCTGAAGCGTCGCGCCGCGGGCGTGCACCGAGCAACGTCAGCTCGCCGGAACACGCCATTTCCTCGGTTTGTTCTCTTCGACCTCCTTTCCCAGTCCGCGCGAGAAACGATAATTGGAGAAGTTGGAAATTATCGGACGTCGACGGGAGAGCACGGTGTGTCGTTGCGACTCGCGTCTGCGATGATTGAGGTCTCTTCCGGGGTGCCAACCAGACCGATATATACCCGCTGGAAGGAACAAGACTCTCCTTCTCCGAGCCGTGCATTCTTCGACCGTGGATTCTCCGCGATTTAATGTACCTCGGGGGAGAGGTCTCGCGGCCGGAATTCTTCGGTTCCTTCGACAGAATTTTCGCGAACATATCATCGACGGTCCGCGGCACATTCTGGCCGACTGTCGGGTCTCGTTCGACCTTTTATCGCCGCACATTGTACATCGTTCCGGCGCTAAACGGCCGCAGTAAAAATTACTGCCGCGAGAAATGCTTCACCGCAACGCCGCGCGCCGCGAGGAGAAAAGTTGAAACGAAAGTAACGCGTCGTGAAAATCAGCGAAGTTAACCGGTACCGCAGTTTTTATTCCTTTTGTCCGACGGGCTGTCGATACCGACACTTGGGCTTTAGTGCCATCGGCTTCGAATTCACCGTAGATTTCCTCGGTCTCTATTAACCAGTTAGCTGTTACGACCTCTTTGAAAAGTGCGCACGTACAATTTGTACGTACTGACTCAGAAAATACATACAACTTTTTTAGTAGCAATTATTTTTATTATTCTATTTGTTCGTTTCGTTTCGTCCCGGTCTTCAAACATTCAAATCGTCTTAACATTTACGAATGTATCTCAGTTCTCGTTAAAATTGCAATTTAAACAGAACAGTTTTTCCCTTATCACGAGTATACCCGTTAAAAAACGGCTCGAACTGGGTAAAAATGCCCGGTATTTCACCAACACGGCATTTCAATTCCTGCCGCGATCGGTAGAGATGATTCGAGCGGGTGCTCTGTTCGCGGTGAGCACCGAAAAATCGCGTATTCCGCCGAATTTCATCGGCGAGTATCGATGGAAGGGTCGCAATCTAGAGAATCTCGTCGCGCGGAGGGAGGATGAAAAATTCTCGCGACGGTGTGCCGAATGATTCCACGTCGAAAATCGCAATCGGCAAGAAATCCTCGTGGAGAAGCAGCGACAATTTTCCCGCAGGAGCGGAGCTCCATAAACGAGAGAAATATTTTAGACAGGTAATAGTTGCGGAGAGGAGTGGGGAGGCAGAAGGGAACAGGTGTCGCGGGTCCCTGACGGTCTATAAATTTCTCCGGCGCCTCGTAACTCTCGGCAGTTTCGCGTTCTCGATTCGTGCCTGTGGCCAGGATCGTTGCCTCCCGATGTCTGGGAATCGAGAGTCGAATAAATCCGGCCCGACAGCGGCCGGAACATTGCCGCGGCCTGTGTGCGCCGGTCGAGCGTTGGTGTTCCCTCGGCCCGCGCCACCGCGGCGAAGCCGTCAAATTCGAATTAGAAAGGCACGCGTCCGCCGAAATTGAATTTCGGTTTAAAGACCGTGCCCGTTCCCGCATTCCCGGAGCAAAATCAAGGGCCCTGAGAGAGAGAGAGAGAGAGAGAGAGAGAGGGAGAGAGAGAGAGAGAGAGAGGTGGCGCACGGCTAGGGGTCGCGCCGAAGAACACGGAAAAGAGGGAAATGCGGGGAATGCGGACGCCCGGCATTTCCAGCGTCGACGGCATTTTGTTTTACGCCGGGTCGTCCTGGCACCCTCCGGCTGAATTCGTGAATCGTTAACCGTGTCCCCGTCGTCTCGCGGCCGCCGCCCGCGGATTCCACGCGGAGTAAGAAGCTTTAATCCTGCGGATTCTCCGAGCGTCGTTTCCCGCCGCGAGCACGGCAAATGAAGCGTGTTGCAGGAATCCGATCGATTCCGCGAGGATTCCGCGACTCACGCCGAGGGTAACCGTCTCGGGAAACGCAGCGGGAATTTAGGAGATCGTTGAAACATCGGTGAAGGTGTAGCCGAACCTCCGACGTAAAAATCTGTTGTAGTTAAAAAATGTCGACTTTATTTATTTATTTATTTATTTATTTATTTATTTATTTATATGGGTTATTTATATATTTATTATTAATCTGTAATATACATATATAAATTATTTTAAAATATTTTTATTTTATTTATATGTATATTATTTACAATAAAGGAAAAAACTGATATTAATGCAGACTTAACACTAGATTTACGGAACCCGTCGAAATGGCGGGTCATTAATTTTTTAATTTATGATTATTCATATCGTAAAGATACATTACGGCAAATGTTACAATAGCACTTGTTAAAAATCAGAATAAATGTCTCATTGTTATTCTTATAAGCTAATGTAAAACAGCTGTCTTTTGTGCTCCGTAAATCTAGTGTTAATACAGAATCATCGAGTCAGCAGTTAGGTGAACAGTTTATGGTTCTTTCGAATCTTACTGCAAATGTGTCTATTTTCTCGCTGTCGTCATTAAAAAGTTGTCGTCCCGTAAAAAGAAGGGTCAATCGCGCTAGATCTCGATGAGTAGAACGACGTTCTGAAGGGCGCTGCTGACCCAGCAATTCGAGGAGGAGCGTCGAGGTCCATAACGTCCTCTCGAAGTTAAAATTATTGACGGATCCAAGGACGCCAGAAAGCTTTTAATCATTATTCGTCCGGATTCAACGTCGTCCGTGCACCTTCGAGAGACGTGTCCGGCGACGAACGTCCTTAACCACCGAACTCTCGCGGTCACGCCTTCCCAGGATTCCCGCGGCGTAACGAACAGTTTACCAGCACAATTTCCAGACGTAGAACGCGGCGGCTAGATAACGTCTGTTCCTAAAAGCCGTCTGATGGACGAGGGTGCGCTTACCGGGCGGAACACGCCGCGCAGGGTGCCCCGGAATCGCGACAACCCCCTTGATCGCGCGGACCATCGAACGATCGCGTCGATTTCTTAATTCACGTTCGACAATCGAGCGCCGGCAGGTCGACGCCGAAGCTTGAATTTTCAATTCCAGCCCGACGAGTATATGTATATTCCCCGCTTGCCATGGCGTGCTCCATTTCCAGAACACCCCCGGCACTCCTGTATCGCCACTCGACCCCTCATCGAGCGTTTCCATGAGGGCGCATTTCCGCCACCTTGGACCCTGGCACAATTAAGAGAAAACTCTCCGGTGGAAGAAGTCGGAAATGGGTCGCAATCGCGGGTGGTTGGCGGAGCCGGAGTGTAGCAGGCGATAAACATCGAAGCAGTTTAGCAAGGTGTGCGAGGGGGGGAGGGAGCAGCAGCAGGGAAACGTAATCGAAAATCCTTTACGGCGATTCGTCGCGCGACTCGGCGTTGCAATCGACGGGGGTAGTTTTTCTAGCGACGTTCTCTTTTTCGTCGGGATGGCCTGCATTCCGCAGGGTATCCCGAGGAGGAGGGGGATGAAGAAGGAAGGAAGGCTTCCTGGGATACATCCTGCGTGTACAGCCGGGCGAGCACGTACGTTCGCTAACGGCCAACTAATGGAATGGAATTCGCGTCCAGAACGTCGGTTCCATCTCCCGACCTCCGTATCCGCTCCTCGAAACCCCCGGCTTCACCCCCGACCAACGCCGTACCCTCGGAGGAACCGTAAAATCGGCACCGACGCGCGTTGTTTTCCTTCTGCAATCCGGGCAAGTTCGCCAGACTTAATTCGATTCTTCCTCGCCCCCTTTTTTCTCGCCGGAGCCCTTCTGTTCGTTTTATCGACTCGCCCTCCACCCCCCCTCCCAACGCCACGAACAACCCCCTCCAGCCTGTTCCGTCCGAGCGGGGCCGCGCGCGTTCCCTCTCGTCGCCCTTCCGACGATTTTTATCCTTTTTTATTTCCTTCGCGTTTTTCTCGTTGGCCGTGCACTCGACCTCGCCGACGGCCTCTCTCCGCTCGAGTCCGCGCGCTTCCAGCGAGCGTAAGAGCGTTAGCGCGTGCCTCTAATGCCATCGGGCGCCGGCCGGAAGTATCGACGGTCACGTACGCTGCACGCTCATTTCTATGTTCTTCTTTCGCGCTGTTTCTACTCTTCTCCGTGTGCAAATGTTCCGTCGGTTTCACGCCGCGATATCGCGATATCGCGACGCGAGGGGTCAGATTTTGCATCGTCGAGATCTCGCTCGGTTCCCGTTTTCCGGAATTCCGGCCGGTGCCGGAATTACCGGTCGCGTTGCAGTATTAATGGAACGATTTTGTTATTTCGACCCGTTTTGGGGCCGAACGTCGTCGCTTTGTCGAAAACGTGTCGGGGCTTTGCGGCTGATTTCAAAAGTTGCTGTTATGTAATTCGATTATGCGCGGCACAAAAGATCGGGATCTATTGTTCGATGTTCCCGTTGTTTTAGACTTCG